CCCGCCGATCTCAGGGGGCGACTGGGCATATATGGATGTAAGCGCTCCTTCAGGTAACCAGGACCCAAGCCGTTTAGGGCCTTATAGGTCATTACCAACACCTTGAATTGGGCCCGGACTTCAATGGGGAGCCAGTGAAGCTGACGGAGAACTGGAGTCATGTGAACATAACCTCCAGTCCCCGTCAGCAGCCTGGCAGCTCTATTCTGCACCAATTGAAGTATCCGGACCGTCTTCAGGGGTAGCCCCACGTAGAGCGCATTACAGAAGTCAAGACGGGAAGTCACCAGCGCATGAGTCACTGTTGCAAGGCAGTCGTACTCCAGGTAGGGACACAGCTGATGAATCAGCCGAAGCTGGAGGAAAGCGCTCCTCACCGCTGTTGTCACCTGAGCTTCGAGTGAAAGCTCCGGGTCGAGGAGCACTCCCAAGCTGCGGACCTTGTCCCTAGGAGGGAGTGCAACCCCGTTCAGGACAAGGTTCAATTCACCTTCTCCGAAGCCCGAACCGCCAACCAACAGGACCTCCGTCTTGTCTGGATTGAGCTTCAGTTTATTGGCCCTCATCCAGCCCATTACCTCGGCCAGGCACCGGTTCAGTACAGCCACTGCCTCACCTGGATTGGTGGAAAACGAGAGGTAGAGCTGGGTATCATCAGCGTACTGATGGTTCCGCAGCCCACACCTCCTGATGACCTCTCCCAGCGGTTTCATGTATATGTTGAACAGCAATGGGGACAAAATGGACCCCTGCGGCACTCCATGGCATAACTGCCATGGCGCAGAGCCATAGTCCCCCAGCACCACCTTCTGGAATCGGTCGTTGAGATAAGAGCGGAACCACCGCAAGGCGGTGCCTCCGACCCCCAATCCCGCAAGCCTATCCAGAAGGATACCATGGTCGATGGTATCGAAAGCCGCTGAGAGGTCCAGGAGAACCAACAGAGACGCACTCCCCCTGTCCTTCTCCCTGCACAGGTCATCGTACAGGGCGACCAAGGCAGATTCAGTACCGTAGCCAGGTCTCAAGCCGGACTGAAATGGGTCCAGATAATCAGTTTCATCCAAGAGCGCTTGGAGTTGTCCCGCCACCACTCGCTCTAACACCTTGCCCAGAAACGGGATGTTGGCCACTGGTCTATAATTAGTGACCATCCCTGGATCCAGTGACACCTTCTTCAGGACTGGTCGGACTACCGCCTCCTTTAAAGGGGCAGGCACCTGACCCTCCCTCAGAGAAGTGTTAACCACTTCCAAGATCCAGGTTCCAATCCCGTGCTTGGAATCCTTTATTAACCAAGACGGGCAAGGGTCCAAAAGGCAAGTGGTAGGACGTACTCGTCCAAGCACCTTGTCCGCATCATTGGGCCGCAATAACTGAAATTCATCCAATAATTCTGGACCACATGGCTTCAGGCATGTTCTTCTGACCAAAATTCTCTATTGCTTCTCACTTGCCCATATTTTCTTTCTGCCCCCAGCTGCTGCTTGAAAAATCCTACAAAAATGGCAATATCAGGTTAAGAATAAAGCATGAAAATTAAAACTGACAAGCACATTTGCATCCATTGTAGTGAGCTGCATAATTTAGCTGGGGGAACAGGTTTTTGTTTGGGATTTTTTTTTTGTTTTCTTCACACAGAATTTCCATTTCCTTGTACCAAAATGTGGATTTGTCTAGCATGGAGTTCAAACAGCCCTGTTTCCTAATAGCCACTGGGAATAGCTGGAGATGGCCCAGAGCCCAGGCAAGGCATTCTGTGTCTTATTGGCAACTGTCTGCTCTTGGAGTTCTTGCTTTTTTGCCAAGGCCCCTCTATGAATTCCTCCATGAGAGAGGAATGTGCAGGGCCAGATGGCCCTCAGGGAAGGAATAACTGCAAGGCCAAATATCCCAGCGTGCAGAGCATCCCAGAGGGAACAAGCTGCTCTTGGTGTATTTAACCAGTGAACCCCCTCACTGCTTAGTATGGAATGGAAAACTTCCATAGGACTGTCATACTACCAAGTGACTTCAGTGGAAGATACACCTAAATAGAAGCGAAAAAGGCAAGTGAAGGTTAAACCATGTTGAAAAAGAATATGCATTCTCTGGCCTCTTCCCACAAAATGGAGATTCCAGGTTTATATGGATTTGGCTGGTTTTTTAGTACAAAAACCAATAGCCAGAGCTTAAAACAATATGTTGCATTTAGCAGTTGATTATCTGTTGGAAGAATAATGCAAAATTTAAGTGTCATTCCTTATGAGTTTTGTCCTACACTTGTACTGAAGTCTGAAGGGAAAGAGAGAGAGAGAGAGAGAAGGCCCACTGCAGTTAGCTAATGAATGATGAGCATGCACTTCAACCCATTCCAGATCGAACTAGACATAAATGGGAGTGTGACTTAAAGAGTTCTGGGCAAAGTGTAGTTTTGCCTCCGTATGGCTAGGTTGGAAGTGAAGACAAAATACTCATTTTCCTGTTTGGATGTTGTGGGAAAGATTGTATTCTAAGTGTTCATTTGTATTCTGGCTTCTATTGTCAGTTGGAAGCTTCCAGTTTAAGGGCAAAACACTACCTTTTGGTACAAGGAATCAGTACATTTCTATGAAGGACTTGAGGGCTGTTTAGGGACTGGAAGCATCACACTCACTGTTCTGTTCATATTCACTCCTAGATTGTGTTTGAGGGAATCATAAGCAAAGGACATTCAGGAGAGATTGCCATCGATGATGTCCGGATAGGCACCGATACATCCTTGGAAAACTGTATGGGTACGTAAACAATGCAGCTCATCTATAGCAGATTACTTGCAGGAAGCTAAAGCACGTTTGCATCCAGCCGGCCAGGTGTGCAAGCTTAAATGGGGCCCATCTATACCAAGTCTGTACTACAAAGGTCCTTGTCCCGCATCACAAACACTGGTGGTTCCAAGTGAGGAATAGTTTTGCACAATAGTAGTTTGAGGCCATTCCAGTTCTGGGACATATTTTTTTGGCTTGTTTTTCTTTATGTCTTTGGTCCTCATCACCCAAAACTGTTGTGTGTAGGCTGCATGGAACTTCATTTCTGTCATGACTGCTGCACATGGCAAACCATTCCTGTGCTTATAGATTGGCTGCTGACATGCATTTTTCTCCATCACAACAATTGCTAGCTGAAGTATGTGGTGGAGGTGCGGAGACCTATCTCTGCAGGTATTTCATGAGAAGCAGTCTTCGCTGTTCTCAGCGCCCAAAGCCACTGCCTCACAAGCCCATCCAAAGCAAATTAGTTGATCTGGTTTTCCAAAGTGCTTTAGCAGCGGTGGGGTGCAAAGGAGTGGGCCTGGCTCTGTCCAAGGATCACTGCTGTACCTCCCCATACAGAAATTGCTCTGGCCTAGTTCCCACAAACAGCATGTGAAGTGTTAAAACCGTTTGTGGACTGAATACTGCAGCTGAAGGGATTTCCATGACTGAATACTTTTCAGAGGGGTGGGGATCGTGCCTGCATAAGCCTAGCATATTAAGGACAGGACTAGGCTAGGTGTTATATTCCTTGCAAAGTCTATAATTTTCCTTGTATAGGTTATGTTTTGAGGTATTCTTACATATTAAGAGGCTTTCAATCTCCCATCAGTGGGGTGTAGCCCTGAAACAGAGTGAGAGGAATAACCAGTGAGGACAGAGGTGATGGGTCTGTGTGTGGCATACCTAATCTGTTTCCCCTTTCACACTTGGTTGCAAACAAAGGGACACTTCCTGTGAGATGCCTGTCACTGAGTTTCTTTGCAACAACAAGAAGCAACTGAGACAAGTAACAGGCAAATTTGCCTAGAGCAAATTTTAGTGTGCGAATCATTCCTTCCATGTAGCAGTGGCCAACAGGTCACTCTGCAGGCTTCCGTACAGGGAGCCTTATCTCAGAGTTGTTAAACAGACAGAACCCCTGCCCTGCATTCTAGCAAGTTTCAGGAATTCGCTTAGCTTGCTCTTTCCTTCCAGAGGAAGGAGTGCCTAGGGAGGGCAGGCACTGATGATGTTTCTGTCAACTCATTGAAAGAATAATGTTTGTTTCTGTGATGGCAGGGGATGTCCAAAGTATTAAGCAGGGGGTTGCCAAGGACAAATATACAAGAGGAAAACCAGTGGTAGGTTAGCATTACCTGCTTGGAAGTGCTGATCAGCTCAATACAGGCCTTTTATTAATAAGAGATAATCAGTGGGGAAGTTTTAGAATAATTAATTTAGAAGTTTAAAATTATTAGTAACAACAAAACAGATTCCTGGTCTGGAATTCATCATCCTACTGAGACAGGAGCCAGATAGGAAACTTTATTGTTAGAACCACAGAGGTATTTTATTTAAAATTTAAAAGAAGAAGAAAACCTAAAATGTTGACACAAGAATGTTCCATTTCCTTTCCTATTAGCCTGCCCAGTCCATCTGCTATTTCTTGTTTATATGAAGGTGATGACCATTTTTTTCTTTAAATTTCTTCCTCTTATTTGCTCAGGCTTCGGTTTATTTCCACTTTGTTCTCACAACATCCCTGTGACGAAGATTAGAGTGAAAATAGTGACCAACTATCGCAAGGTCCCCCCAGAGACATTCATGGCTGAGTGAAGGTTTTAAATTGGCTCTCCTTAAATAAAGTCTAATGTTCTATCCATTACATCACATCAGCTCTCTCAATCAGGCACAGGCAGACTTCAGGCCTGTGAGATCTACCTTATATTTTACTAGAATCCTGGGATTCATGAACAGAATTTGGTGCAACAGACATAGGCCTGGCTTGCATGGAACATGAGGCCACCACAATGAATCTGCCTGTGGGATTTTTTGTCTTGGCAGTGGACTTTCAAATATTCAGAGGCTGAGGCGTAGCTTCTTGTTCCATGAAAACCCAGAGAGGGTGGGTTGTTGGGATGGTTCACAAGCTGCACATATTCCTAGGCCATCCCGTGGGCCAACTTCCCCAACTTCCCACCTTTGCTGGGTTTGCATGTAACAAGAAGCAGTGTCAGCATGCACTTGGATCAGCCAACTGGCGTAAATGGGTGCTTTAGCCCACCTTGGCTAAGAGGCCATGGAGGCCTGTGGTGATTGCAAAGCAAGAATTTGTCTTGAGCCCCAGAACTGGGTGGAGCTCACTGTCCTTCCGTGAAGAAATCCACCCCCACATACCTGAAATGATCTTCCTTTAAGCCGCATAGTATATGTGGGGGGTGGGGCGGGGGAATGTGATGTTCTTCTGCTATTGTGCAGCAATGGGTGGTCAGACATGCTTGCTGATGTACAGCCAATCAGTGGCCTGGCTCCACCACCATGATAGCAAAGCATCTGGCACCTTTCTCTGCCAGTGCCTGGAGTTCATGGGAAAGGCGTGGGTCCTCTCCTGCTCTAGCAGAGTTCCTCTGCCACAGTGTACCTGGCAGAGTGTCACATGCAGTGGCATTCTTCCTATTGACCCAAGTTGAACTGGTTCTCAGCCTGGACCTGTGAAACATGGCAAGGACAGGTCTAGCCCAGCAGCTCCTCAGCTGAAGATATAAAGGGTCTCTCTTCCTCTAGCAGGTTTCTCAAGTGAAGCATGATAAACCACAGCCAGCTACTGCTGTTCTAGGAAAAGAGTCTGCCGTGCTGTTTTTCTGGATTTCTGAACATTGTTTGAACTGTGCTGGCCACCTAGGGGTCTTTAATTTCTTTAATGCTTCATACTTTAAAAATATTATCTGTCAGCATTTGACAAACAGTTTTAATCTCTCTGCTTCCACAACACCACCCGTGATGAATAACACTAATAACATTTTACCATAATTTTACAATATTTTGAAGGGGACCTCCCTCCTCACTGAAATATACAAAGTAAAAACAGTCCCAGTGTTTAAATGATTATCTTCAAATGTTTAAACACAGCCAATGGTGGGTGATGAGTCAGATTCACCAGAAAAGTTGGGGACTGAGCTGCCGAGTTTCTTCCATTTTTTAAAGAACAGATATATTGTATGTGTCCCTGAAACATCTCTGTGGTAGAGTACTTGCTTTTCATGGCAGGTTGAGTTCCTGGCATTTCCAGCTAGGGCTGGGAAAACTCCTGCCTGAAATTCCCAAGAGCACTGCAAGTCAGAGCAAGCAGCCCTGGACCGAATGGACAAATAGTCTGACCTGGTCTAAGGCAGACCCCTACATCCCTACAGGCTCTTTAGGACTTCACTGTGGAATCTACTCCCATACTTGTTGGGACATGTTCAGAAATAATTGGGGCATTGTTGAGCATGTGCAAAGTGCCCTTCCCTTTCCACTAGGTAACTGCAGCTGGTTGCCGTATCTCTGGCACTGGGGGAAGAGTTTGTGATTTTCATAGTTTTGGATGTACAGTTCTCACTATCAGAAATAAAGTACTACAAACTATCTTCACTTTTGTCATAAAAACGTTAGCATAATACCACCACCCCAAACACCTATATGGAAGTCCAGTGTTAAGATTCCCCAGTGCATGATATAATTGACATTTATGTCGTACACAAGCTCATGGTTGTTAAGGAAATAGTATTATTGCACCCTGTAGTTCCCCTGTCTGCTGTCTGCAGTGTGAAGCAATCTGTGGATCATATTGTATCTCATGAGAGATCCATTAATAGAAATTGCCACTGTTTTAAAAATATAAAAGCAGCTGGAAAAGTTTTAGATTGGAATTGTGGCATGGGGGTGGAACTTTAATTCTTTCCCTCAGATGATCTTTCTGGTTTTAAACAGTTTCTTCTCTAGAAGTTGGATTTTGAAAACAGCTTCTACTGCTGCAGGGAGGTGGGATGGGCAGAGCTGAAGTATCTGTGTAGTTGGTTCTTCCAATGTATCATTCAGTATATGAAATAATATCTGTTCTCTTCACCTCCCACATCCTCAGGACTATAAAAAGGAACTGATTGGAGTTGCAAACTCCTGTTTTAAAATTGTAATCTGGAGAAGTGATCAAATTCCTTTTCAACTTGGGAAAAGGATCTAATAACTTAAAATATTACTATTTCTTTTGTTTTGACAACCCTGTCACTTGGTTTCTGAAGCATGGTGGCTAGTTTGTGGCACTCCCCTGAACTAAAATTGAGCCAAGAGATGCCATTCCCAGGAAAATGTAAGAGTAACTTTTAAAAAATCAGGTGTTTCCCCTCCTTTTCCTTCAGGAAAGTAATCAGTAAGACACAATGAGTATTGCTTTCCCATTCCAGTTCCTTTCTTCTAGGAAAATAAAAAATCCATCTTTGTTGAAGGGTTTACTTAGGTGGGGTATCTGACCTTCCTTGGGGGTGTGGACACCTGGGGATGGGGGCGGAAAGGAAGATTCAGGAGGCTGGGGCAAGTTTAGATGGAGGAAGCTGTATGCCCTTCATCCTTCTGCAAAGTGGCATTGTTACTTGTAAAATTATACAATAGATCAAGGGGGGTAAAATGGCAACTCTTGCTGAGAGACTTGACAAAATCTTGACTTGCTGAGCAGAGTTTACAATGTGATTGGGTGGCAGAATTCTGTGTTCTTGAATGTAAAACCAATGGGATCCTATGGTTTCTTAAAGTGTGTTGTAAAATGTTACCTGGAAACGTGAAAGTTGCCGACCAGTAACCAGCTTTTTTGGTGGCAACATTCTTATGACTTTAGCAGTTCTGTGGCCTTCAAAAATAGAGCAGCTTTTGGTTTCACTGCTACCATATGTTAGGGGAAAGCTCTACCTGGAGAATTACTGAAAGCAACATACCTTTTAAAGTCACAGAATTTCTGCTAGGAAAAAGAATCAATTTTCAACTGTGAAATTACCAGCAAATGCCCAAGACAGTTCTAGGATATTTCAGAAAGACCACAAAATAAGTAAGTAAATAAAAAAACAGAATTTAAAGGGTCTGTGGGTGATTTTCTCCCATGTGGAAAAGTATCTCTGAGTTTTTATTATTCTGTTTATTTCACCTTGAATACTGGGACTCAAGGCAACTTTTACAGCATTAAAAATTATACAATTAAAACATAAATAAAATATACCAAAGTTTAAAATATAATTAAATCATAGAACAACAAAACCATATAAAATAACAAAATCAAAAATATATAGAATGGAACTAGTCCAATGCAGTCTCACAAATCTGAACTGTTTCAAAAGGCTTGCCTGAACAGAAAGGTGTTTGCCTGCTTCTGAAAACACAACAAGGAGGGCACCAGTCTAGCCTCCCTGGGAAGAGCCTTGGGGACGTCAACAGGAAGGCCCTCTCCCGCATTCCTACCAACCATGCCTTTGAAGGTAGTGCGATGAAGAGAACAGCCTCGCAGAAGATCCTAGGGTATGGGCACGTTCATAAGGGGGAAAACAGGCTTTCAGGTACCTGGTTGTAAGCTGTCTAGGGCTTTATAGGTCATGATCAGCACTTTGCATTGTGCCGAGAAAGAGACTGGGAACCACTGAAGCTCTTTCAGCAAGAGCTCTTTCAGCTCAAGAGCGCCAAACACTTTTCAGAGGTAGTCCCACACAGAGCGTGTTACGGTCACAGAGCTAAACAGGATGTAAGATGCGTGTCACTGTAGTTGAGTCTGACAACTCCAGGAATGCGTTCAGCTGATGTAAATACATGTCTGGCCCCTACCAGCACCCAGGCTCCGGGTTGAATCCAGCACCCACGCTGCAAACCTGTGCCTTAAGCAAGACTGTAACTCATCCAGCACAGAAGGAATCTCTATTCCTTGATCTGCCTTCTAACTGACAAGGAACACCTCTGTCTTGTCCGGATTAAGCTTCAGTGTGTTTGCTCTCATCCTGTCCATTACTGTCAATAGACTGTTTTAGCATGCAAACAGCTTGCTTAGCATGAGATGGAAAGGAGAAATAGAGTTGGGTGTCATCAGCATCCGGGTGAAACCAAACCCCCAAACTCCAGACAGTCTCTTCCAACAGCTTCATGTATACGTTCAGTGGCATGGAACCCAGACAAACTCTACAGGCCAGTGGCCAGGAGCTGAAGAGCAGCTTGGCTTTCCCTCCAGGGTGAGGCATTTCAGCTCAGCATTGTTGTGCTTTTCTTAAAGTTGTGCTTAAACTGGCAGGAGTAGCTACAGGACCTGATTTGGGTTGCATTTCTACTTGGGATCGAGCTCTTGAGCCCATTCCTGCTGAACCCTTCTGTCTCCAAAAGTTTGCTCTAAACAGCATGCTCAAGTGCAAACAGCAAAGTATCTGAAAGAGAGATTTTCAGTACCAAATTGGTACTGAGGCATGATGGGGACCAAATTGCAGACTGGAGCCCTGCACCTGCTTTTTCTTCACATTCTCTTCAGCAGATTTCCTAAATGTAGTAAGATAAATCAGTTCAATGTGCGATTTGGGAAAAGAAGCACAAAAAGATTCTTGTGGATTTGAGTTCTTTGCATTGTCATAAGGATCACATGTGTCTCAGGCTATCTTGAGGATATATAATTCGTTATCTTGGAGATACTAAATTTCACCTCCTCTGTTTCTTTGCAGAACCCATTGCAGCTTTCCCTGGTGAACACACTTTTGAAATTTCAGGTAAAACTGAACTTCTTTTAGCAATGTTTCTGCTGCATGATTTAATTTCTGGTTTTCAAGGTTTTATTTTAAAAATGACTGTGTGTGCAAAAGAAAAAAAAAACACTAACAGAAGGCCGCTGCTATGCAAGATGCCTACATTTGCAGTATGACTTAACATCAGTAGGTGGCACTCAAATAGATGTAGTTTGTGGGTGGGTGGGTGGGTGGGGTGGGGGTTAAAAAAGAGAGGGTATATTTCTTTTCCCAATAAATACAGTCACCTTTCTTTGACCAGGTTTAGTTGCTTGAAAGCATGCAGAAGATTTTTTTTCAAAACTGTACAAATTGCTATGCCAAAACTAGGTGCTGAATCCCAAAAAGAAAACAAAACCCCCAAAACTGCCGTGCATGTCTGTGCTTCTCAGTAGTGCTTCAGGTATTCCGTGGTGCTGCTGCAGGGTAGCTGAAGGAAATGTGCTGGAGAGTTCAGGTATTCTTTCACCCCGGACAGCATGCTGCTGCCCCGCAGAGAAGTTAGGTTCGCACTTTTAAAGTTACTGTTTCCTTTTTAAAAAGGCCAAATACTTACACTTTTAACAGCTGTGCAATGGGCAAAAGTTCACACAGAGAACTTCCATATTGCCATGGCGAGAGGTGCTTCATTTATTGAGTCTCTGCCTGTCATCCTGACGTTGAAGGCACAGACCCCTCCATGCTGGTTAGTGGTGACTTCATCAAGCACCCCACACTTCTTGTATGTTTGAGCAAGCAGATAAATGGTTGGAACAGAATCTGGGCTTTTGAACGTGTCCTCTGTTTGACCGGGACACATGGCCCAGTAGAGTCTTTTATGGACAGAGATTCTAGAAGTGTGTCTAAGAGAGTTAGAGTTGCATGGTGGGGTTACCACAGCAGCTGCACCCAGATCTAAAGGAATTCAGGCCAACTAATAATAGAGGCAAGTAAGGATGCAGATGAACTACTCCGCCTTTGCAACGCCTAGGGAGGAGCAGTGAAGCTTTAAGATGTAAGGCTAGGGGAATAAGCGGCATCCACAGAGAAGTTCAGCCCCCAAATCAGCAGTGAATTAGAAGTGCAACGAGGTGGCAATGATGAATATTTAGCGTAGAGATGTTTTCCTTTTCAATCCACAAATGTCAAGGCAGGGGCTGAACCGGTCTCTTAGTGAGGGACCCTGGCAGGCAGCGGGGGAGGGAACTGGAGCACAGGAACAACTGTCACCCTGAATTTGAAGGCTGACATTTAGTAAAAGAGAACCAGGGGGAAATGGTGCATTTAATAGCTTAATGCTGGCCTGAAGAAAAGAAAATGGGATGCCTCGAGTTGATAAAACCTGTAGAGGGAAACAAAAGGGGAGCGGAATTCAGAGAGACAGTCCTCCTCATTAAACTTGTTTCTGAGTCAGTGGAGACACTCTGGGGTGGGGGAAAGTGTGAGGCAGTTCCTTTCTATCTGGAGTGATTTTTCATTTTGTTTCATTGTGTAATCCTTTTTGCCTTTCACCTGTGGGATGGGAAGGCCCAGTACAGCAAGAAAAGCAGGAAGCATTTGCTTCCCAAAGCATTCTGCTTATATTAAATCATTCTCTTTTTATTTATTATTGGATGGACTGTTCTTCCTCAAGCAATCGCTCAAGCTATTGCTGACGTATTGCTGAAGCTGCTGCCTTTGATTTCCAGAAGAGATGCATTTTTAGTGATTGCAAGAAGTTGGCTTTTCTGTGAAAAATAGTTTGCAAAGTCCTTTGGCATTAAAATTGAGAGTCTGGTAGAGAAGCCCTTGTAGCTAAGGATGAAAAGGTACACTACTGGCATCCATAACATTCTTCTTTGGTGTGAGGTTAATGTTAAAAGCTGTTTAGCATCTTAATCCTATTTATTTTAACACTTAAATTTTGCCAGTTAGTGTATTACTTTCCTAACAGAAAATAGCCTAAAAGTTCAACCAAAATTAGTTTGAACTTCAGCATCTGTTGAGATGGTGCTGATACTGCAGAGATATTATGTAGGCTTTGCAGGGAAAATACGCAGAATTGGGTGATGATCCCTTAATCTTTAAAGGCACAGACCTGTGCATGTTTACACAGGAAAAGCCATACAACTTTCAGCATGCCCCAGTCTGCTGTGCATAGGATTGTGGCTTGTGCTTTTTAAAACTTAATTGATGGAGGCCATCACAGCTATGAAATAACTACAGTAATTACACATATAATACTGTATTTTCCCCAGCTATAATCTCAGCCTCTTCTATGTTTGCTGTGCTTAGACTAGGACAGATTATTATTTTGGGGTTTTTGCACAATTATTTAGAGCGGTTAAAGCAAAAAGATTGTGAAGATCCAGGTGGATCTCTTGCAACTGTGTGAATGGGCATCACAAAGGTGAACGCAGTTCAGTATAAGCAAGTATAAAGCAAGCACATTGTGGGACAAAAGAATCTCAACCTCAAGTTTAAGCTCATGAGATCTGAGCTAGTTGTTACTGAGCAAGTAAGAGAACTTGGGACCATGGTGAATACCTCAATGAAAAGCAAATAAAGGAATTGCAAATAAAACTGCCAAGATTGTATTCTGATTCGGATCTATGGCACAACCACTGTTAGTGCCTTGTGTAGAGTTCTGGTCACTACACCTAAAAATAGATATGATGGAGTTGGAAGAGGTTTCGGAAGGGGGCAACTAAAATGATCATGGGCTGGAGAAGCTTCCCTGTGAGGAAAGATTATACCTTATGGGACTGTTTGGCTTAGGAAAAGGTGAGTGCTGGGAAATGGCGGTGTACAAATTTATGCATGGCATGAAGAAAATGGAGGAGGAGACATTTTTATCCCTCTCCCATAATTCTAGAATGCAAGGACATCCTGTGAGGCTGATTGTTGGGAGATTCAGAACAAATGAAAAGAAGGACTTTATTATGCAGTGCATGGTAAAACGGTAGCATTCACTGCCACAAGATGCAGTGACAGGCACTCACATGGATGGGTTTAAAAGAGGATCGGACAGACTCATGGAGGAGTAGGCCCTCAGTGGCTACTAGCCCTGATGGTTATATTTGTCTGTCAGAGTCAGTATGCTTACGTATACCAGTTGCTGGGGAACATGGATGCGAAGATTCTCCTGCATTCACGTGGGATTCCTGGGGGAACTGACTGGGCCCCATGTGAACAAATTGCTGCACCAGATGGACCTTGGTCTGATCCAGCAGGGTTCTTCTTCCTGCTTCTGCTGCATTTGTGTGTCTCGGCATGGTTGCAAGAGGTGAATGGAAGCAGTCAAGAGATAGACCAGGCAATGGTTTAGAGCAGCCTTCCCCAACCTTGTGTCTTCCAGACATGTTTGGACTGCAACACCCAGAATTCTCAGTCAATGGCCCTGCTGGATGGGAGTTCTGGGAGTTGTGATCCAAATGCCTCTGAAGGCCACCAGGTTGGGGAAGGTTGGATTAGAGCCTTACTGTATGTAATGGTCATGTATTATGGCCATTTACCTCCGACTTTAAAAGCCAACTCTTTCATTTGCATATTTTGCCTTTTTTACCATGGGCTGTCAGACTGGGGCCTTGGGCAGAGACAGAACCTCATCTGACCACAAGCCCCCAAATAATGGTTCCATTTTCATGCTAAATGTGCTCAGGGTGCTCAACACAGAGCTTGTCTTGCGGGGCCCTGTGCTCACACAGGATCACCTCTTGAGTTGAGGGATGGGAATCCTGTCAATAGAGCAGAAGCTGGACAGGTGCTAGCTGTGCTTCTCTCCTCTGCATCTTTGAGGGTAATGGTGAGGGAGAGACAGACTTGCCCAGGGCTGTTGATAAACATCAGGCTAATACTCCAGACATGTCCCTTGTCTAACCCTCTCCAGAAGACAGAAGTGGGAAAAGGGTCTGAGGTCCAGTTGTGTCTTATCAGTAAAAACAGGTCTGTTGCTTGCATTTGAGGAGGAAGATTCTACCATTTTTTAAATCTGCGCTAACTGCGGACATACCTAGCTATCATTCCAATCTAGTTCTTCCTGGGATGCTAAACAAAGCATATGCCTAGACTGCATTCCTTGAGGCTGCATATGGGAGTATACACAAACACGGTGCCTTGCAGAAGTAAGTCACACACAACCCTTTAACTTTTCTACATTTTGTTGCATTCAACCTGCTGTAATTGAAACAAATTTAGTTGTCATGATTACCACATGATGTACACAAGAAACTCAATACTGTGAAGGTGCAAAATATTTTTATTGTGGCACAAAGATATGTAAGCAAATTGGCACTTGTTGGTTGCATGAGTATTTACCACCTTTGATGTGACATGCCTAAATAAGCTCTGATGCAGCCCACTGCCTCCACAAGTTGCATGTGGTAAGTGAGTGAATGGAGTCTATCTGTGACAATTCCAGTGCCATATGACTTCAGATTAAATGCATTGTTTCTGGAAGGCCCTAGAGTTTGTTGGAGAGGGTATCTAAACAAACAGCAGCATGGAGACCAAGAAGCTATCAAGACATCTCCAAGATAAAGTTGTGCAGAAACACCAATCAAGGTGGGGTTCTAAAAAAATAGCACAAACTGCGAACAGCTCCTGGAGTACCATGGAATCTGTTATTACAAAATGGAAACAATATGGTTCATTCATGAATCTGTCTAGAGAAGACCAGCCACCAAAACTCAGTAACTGGGTAAGAGGAGCACTAGTGAGAGAAGCAACCAAGAGGCCAAAAGTAACTGAAGGAGCTGGAGCGATCTACACCTGGAATGAGAGAAACCATGGGGCAATGATTACCTGACTGCTCCACAACGATGGGCTTTCTGGAAGGGTGATGAGAAAAAAAGCCATTGCTGAAATAAACCTATATCAAAGTTTGTTTGAAGTTTACATGTGGGAGACACAGTAAACATGTGGTAAAAGTTTATCTGGTTTGTTGAGACCAAAACTGAACTTTTGGGCCTTGCTGCAAAAAGCTGTATGTTGGGCAAACCTAGCAGTGCTTATTGCCCTGAGAACAC